GTGCGGGGGGCAGTTGTACCTGCTTCTGCCAGGGCTTTCTGCTCTGCCTGGGATTGCTGTGAGCCATCTGCAACGCCACTTAAGGACAGACTTCCTGCAGCAGGCCTTCGGTGGGGGTTCCCCAGGGGACACCCAGGCTAGTGCCAAGTTCACCACTCTGCTTTGGCTGGCAGTTAAATGGCATTACTATATTTCTTCACATACAGTACCCAGGTTTTTGGCAGCTTATTTGTGGAAAAGGGAGTCCCGGCTATATGCAAAAATATGGTAGTTATTTCTAGGTCAGATATACACAGTTTTACATAAAACCTAGTGTAGCTATAGAATGATATAACTATAATCATAGATTCATAGAAGTAGGGTCAGAAGGGACCTTGTAGATCATCACGTCCGACCCCCTGCCCTGGGCAGGAGAGAAAACCGGGCTCAAATGACCCCAGCCAGGTAGACATCAAGCCTCCTCTTAAAGACCCCCAGGGTAGGAGCTATAACCACTTCCCTTGGAAGTTGGTGCCAGATCCTAGCTGCCCTGACTGTGAAGTAGTGCCTTCAGATGTCTAGTCTAAACCTACTCTCTAACAATTTGTAGCCGTTATTCCTTGTTACCCCGGGGGGCGCTAGGACGAACAGGGTCTCTCCCAAACCCTGCTGGTCCCCCCTGGTGAGTTTATACATGGCCACCAGGTCCCCCCTCCGCCTTCTCTTGCGAAGGCTGAACAGGTTACGGTCCCATAGCTTCTCTTCGTAGGGTCTGCCCGGCTGTCCTCTGATCATGCGGGTGGCCCTCCTCTGGACCCTCTCAATGCTGTCCACATCCGTCCTGAAGTGCGGCGGACAGAACTGAACACAGTACTCCAGCTGCAGCCTGACCAGTGTCACATAGAGGGGGAGGATCACCTCCTTGGCCCTACTTGAGATGCATCTGTGGATGCATGACAAGGGACAGTTGGCCCTCCTGACCGTTACCTCACATTGTCGGTCCATGTTCATCTTGGAGTCAATAATGACTCCAAGATCTCTTTCTGCCACCTTGCTCTCAAGAGGGGAGTTTCCCAGCTTGTAAGTGTGCTGCTGGTTCCCACTTCCCAAGTGCAGCACCCTGCACTTGTCAGTATTGAAACCCATCCTATTTTCATTAGCCCACCCCTGTAACCTGTCCAGGTCCTGCTGTAATCTGTCCTTCCCTACTAGCGTGCCCACCTCACCCCAAATCTTGGTGTCATCAGCAAATTTAAACAGGCTGCTTTTTAACCCGTCGTCCAAGTCACTAATAAAGAAATTGAGTAGTGTGGGCCCAATATAATCATAAAAAGCTTAGTTTTAAAACAAGGTGACAAAGAGAACATACACAAATATAAATAGGATTTCAGAGTTAATTTTAAGAAGCTGGATTGTTTAAAGTTTTTCATTGCAAACTGTGGCTAACAGTACAGAGATAACACTTATAGTATTACTAGAGTGAAAGTGAAGTTTTCAATTGGGTAGATCTGTTCAGAAGGTCGTGGTTTGTAGCAGTGCATTTGGATTCCTCATATCATTAGACTCTCTTAAATATCATTTAGAAGTCATAACATAAGCACTGTATTAACTTTAAATTTTCATTCCAGCTTCATTCAGACTATGCTATAAAAAGGAGAAGTTGCTTTATTTTTAAATCTCTTCATACAGAAAATGTATATATTGTTTTACTAAAATATCCTAAATATGTACTTATTTAGATAATTATGCAACTCTGTCACGTTTGATTGATTTATTAAGAAGAGCTGGGAAGTTAGAGGAAGTTCCAAGATTTTTTGTAATGGCTGAGAAACATTCTTCCAGAGCAAAACTAGAGCCAGGTTTTCACTATTGCAAAGGATTATATCTTTGGTAGGTATGGTTATAATTAAGTAAAACATTTATTGGTTATTTTACCACATCTGAAAATAAACTTTTGTTTTTACGTCAATATCAACCATAGTTCTGTTACATTTTTGCAAGCTAACAAGCCTAGATTTAGGGTGTTGCCGTTTGATACCCTTGACTCTTCTGAAATGCTTTCTTTTGGGTTCTTCTGGAAAGTATAATTATTTAATTTTATCTGTCTGTTTCATAGCAAATAGTAATATTAGTTACTTTTGACTTTCAGAAATGAAATTAAAAATTTTTAAAACTCAGTTTTTACAATATGTATATAACAAAAATATAAAATATATACCTGGTACAGTTTGAAATATATATATATATATTCCTGTTAGTTGCTTGCCCAAGCTGAAAATATTTTCATAACCTGACTTAGGTATACTGGTGAACCAAATGATGCTCTTCGACATTTTAATAAAGCTCGGAAAGACAGTGATTGGGGACAGAATGCAGTTTATAACATGATTGAAATTTGTTTGAATCCTGATAATGAAACAGTAGGTGGCGAAGTATTTGAAAACCTGGATGGTGACCTAGGGTAAGGAAAGCAGTGAAGATGTTTTTTTTTCTTGTTAACACTTTGTATCCTAGTGTAAACTGTAACAGAATGAGAGATGCTCATAATGTGGCACTTTGGAGAGAGGAGTCAACCAGATACTAGTCAAAAGATGAGGAGGATTCTGTTCTCAGTGTCTGTGCATTTGTAGGATTTTAAGTGTGGCTTTGCAGATAATTTAGAGTCACTTTCAATACAGAAGGAATGCCAATATAGAATAGCCATGTAAAGAGTGACAAAAGTGATTTGTTTTTTCTACCCAATTATTCATCATAACTCATAGTTAATTTAATTATAAAATTTCATTTTATGTGTATAATGAAAAGTTATTTTTTTCTAAATACATTCTTTCTGATTTGTAGTAATTTGACAGAAAAGCAGGAGTCTGTACAGCTAGCTGTGAGAACAGCAGAAAAACTCCTGAAGGAACTCAAACCCCATACCATTCAGGGTCACATTCAACTTCGCATTATGGAAAATTATTGTCTAATGGCAACCAAACAGAAATCAAATGTTGAACAAGCATTAAACACCTTTACTGAAGTAGTAGTTGCTGAGGTTAGTAATTAGCCCCTCATTCTTATCCTCACATTATGGCTTTTGGTTTAATTTGAGAAATTTAGAGGCATTTAACATAACCAAGTCAGAGAGTTGTTTGTTTCGTTGTTGTTGTTCTTGATGTCTTGAAAATTGGCAGCAAAAATGCTGAAGCAGGAGTCTTTCTTGCTGACATGTAAGTTTGTTAAAAATGCAAGCTTACAAGAAATTGCTCAGTAAGCTTAATACCATTATTAAAAATTGTTTGGGTCTTTTTGTGCTTTGTGTTTTTTTGTCTTTGTTTTGGCTTTTTTTTGTTTTTTGTTCGTTTTGTTTTGGGTTTTCGTGGGTTGTTTTGACTTTTCAGGTTTTCCAACTCTTGGTGTTCTAAAAATATGTGTAGGACCAAGCCTTCAGAAATCTTTACAATGATAAATTTATCCAGCTCTGTGATGAGGACCCATTCCCTAGAGCAGTGTTTCTCAGCCCATGGGTTGTGACCCAAAAGTGAGTCACAAGAATTTATTAAAGGGTTGCACAGATTTTAAAAATGGATTCTCCTTTAAAGAAGAAAAATGTGGGAAACTGTGGCTTTGCCCTTGCAGGCTGGCAGAGTTATAGCCTGTCCAGGGCTGCTTGGTGCCCTTCATGTGTGTGTGTCTCTCTCCTCCCCACCACACACACACACATCCCTTCCCCCCCCACACACACACACTGTAGGGCTGGGGCCTGGAGGCAGGGGGCAGCAGGTCAGGAGTGAGGGGCATTAAGTCAGGACTGGCCATTGATGTTTACAAATGGGTCCTGGTACAAAAAGGGTTGAGAACCACTGCCCTAGAGCTCAGGTCATTCCCATGGCCTCCCTACATAGTACCTACGTAAGTGACATCTGCAGGTCAGGAACCTGGAGCTCAGTATATACCTTTTGCCAAGCATTACATGATTGTAGAAACCTCAAAGGCAGATGCTGTATTTAGTAGGAGAACCCTTCAGTCACTGTTTGTCTATGACACTCAGACCTCTGTTTGAGTAGGGAGTGCCCAAATATTTGTGGGCACTGCTTTATTCTCACCCTAGGTGACTCCTTTATGTGTCAGGGTGAGAATATACATTTGGAAGTCACTCAAAGGAGAAAGAAAAGTTATTTTCAGTAATTTTTTTGGAGCATGCACACTCGCATCCTTTCTTCCTTTTCCTTTTCTCTGGAGTTGTATTTACTATGAGACTCCAAGGCTGAAAGGAAACTTAAGAACAGGAGATGTACACCTCTATCCCTGTGGCAAAGGGCTGAAGGAGGTGTAGCATTAGGTTGGATCCTACCAAAGTTTATGATGTGTACGTGTCTATGCCTACATACTGCATAGGGACAATACATTTTGAAGGAATCCAGTTACTGGTAAGTAAATTTTTTGCTAATTTCTTTTTCCTTTTTTAGCCCAAGCTTGCAGTCAATCTTTTAAATAATTTAAGGTAGTGGTGTTGTAGTCCTGTTGAAGATTGAACACTATGTTACATAATAGATATTTGGAATATGAGATTTTTTTTATTCTCTTAGTTTCTGGGTTTTAGCTTTTACTTGTATCTTACTGTAGCTGCTCAGTAATAATTTTATTTTGAAAACTTACTTTATAACTTAAAGCCAGTTATCCTTTCTATTCCAGAAGGATCATATCCCAGCTCTTTTAGGAATGGCTACAGCCTACATGATATTAAAACAAACTCCACGAGCCAGAAATCAGTTGAAACGCATTGCGAAAATGAACTGGAATCCCATTGATGCAGAAGAGTTTGAAAAGAGCTGGCTGCTGCTTGCTGATATTTACATTCAATCTGCAAAATATGATATGGCAGGTGAACTCTTAAAACGGTGTCTCCGTCACAACAGGGTAAGTGACTATGCATTTTATTTTTCTTTAGAAACATGCTGTGAAATTTTTTCTTGTGAAGGGGAAATAAACTTGGGGAAACCAGCAACTTATCCCTGAGAGTAGAAAATGAATTCATCTGCAGTTGCTTCTTCATTTTTATTCATAAGATGTAAGTAATTTATGCAGGTCTGAGCTGTGGTGATACGTTAGTGTTGAAAGTGTGTGTAGAATGTCAAGAATGCATTTTATTATGAATCTGATCCTGGCTAATGACAACAGCAGACAGAAATTGTGATCACTTGCCCCATTTATTAAGGAAGAAATAATCTGTATCTCTGTATGCAATTTGGTGTGTATAACAGTGTTTTACAAGCTTTACATTACAAATAAATGTACAGGAAATACAATGTATTTTTTCCTTTTGCATCATGCCTTTACTGATCCTGCACTGACAAGTTGCTTTCCTCTGGATTCTGATGAGGCAGCTCTACAGCTCTAGTGTTTTGATTGGGCACTTAGGATTTTTGACCTGGACCTCTGCCAGAATGGGTTTCAAGAAGCAAGAACAGTCAACAGCTTTAACTCTCCCGCTCGCTATTTCTCATTTTGTTCTTTCTCTCTGGTAATGGAGTTTTTTTTTCCTTTCTGTCTACATACCTCTCACCTTCTTTTACATGAAGGCTGTTTAGAAGACCCATTCTTTTACAGACATTTATATCCCCATGGTTTCTCCTCAGCAATCTACTTATTGCTACTCATAAAACTACTTTGAGTACCCTTCAGCTTTTACCTGGTAAAGAGCCAGGTTTGTCTCCTGATCTTTATCCTTCTGTCAGATCTCCTTCTGTGTATTTGAAGCTTAACTTAGTTCTCATCTAGATTATATTCCTTTAATAGAAATTACCCCATCCAGGAGACCCTCTCTTTTATACCAGAGGGGTTCAGTATGAGTAATTCCACGGATTACAACCGTGTCAGAATGACATTGACATTGAGGGAGAAGCAATCTCCTGAAAGATTTAAATATTTAGAAGCAATGTCTGAAATATTTAGATAAATAAGCCTGGGCAATGAGAGGAAAAGAAAAGTGACGAAGGCCACAAAAACCTTTCACATTTGGTCCTAGCATCACAGTGATTAGAAGCTCTGCCCTGTATTAGCATTCAGTTCCTACACATAGAGAAAAAAAACAGCAAGAATTGTGTACAGCTCCAATTTTAAAGTATGCTGAATTAAGAAAAAATATCAATTTTTATGGAAAACACTTTCTGCAAAACTATCCAAGATGTGTGGAATTTGACCAGAGTGACTAAACACATTATTTTGGCTTTTGTCATTGCTTTTTAGCAATCAGAAATTAATTATAAAAATGCATGTGTACTTCATTTACATAAATATATTGAATTAGATGCTTAGCCTTTGTCATCATCACGTTTGTTTTCATGTCAGTCTGGTTTTGTCTTTCGTTCCAAAGTCAGTGAAAACCCAACACATATCCAAAGCCAGTGCATTACTATAGAATCAGTGTTTTTATAAACAGATTTCTTTTCTTGATCCTTCAGCTGTATTTCTAGATTCTCCATCTGTATCTCTTCTGATGTAGCACAGACTTCTAAATAAAGGAGATTTCTGCTGCCATATCTTATTCTAGTACTCCATGCACTCTCTAGTTAGACTTCTAGGTCCTAAGTTGAAACCATGTCCTCTGTAGACTTACAAAGTTTAATTTTAAATGGGTTTAAATAGTTAGGATAAGTAGAATATAGTATATGCATTTGTCTCTTCTGTGGTGTAAATAATTGGCACAATACATAAATTAGGTACACATTTCTAATGAATGGCTTAATTTTCCTGCTTAAA